AGTGATTCCATATTGTGCCCACCTCAATCTGACACGCACATTCTCATTTTCTGTAGCTTTGTCCTAAAACTGAACACAGGTCTTACTTTGTCTATAAATTGGCTATCCAATTTTAAAGTTAATTAAAACTAAAAACCCAGTTCCTTAGTGACATGAGCAACATTTCAAGTGCTCAATAGCCATATTTGGCTATTGGCTACCATATTGGACAGAATGAATTACAGAACATTTCCATCACTGCAGAAAGTTCTACTGGACAGCACTGAATTATTCTAGAACCTTAGCTTAAAAAGCAGACCCTTGAATTTTGCAAGAGACAAACTTCCAGAGTTCTCCACTGATAGCAGAGCAGCACTTTCTGGAAGCATAAGTTTCAGGGAGAAATAACAATAGCATGAAATTGTTTCTAATCATAGCATTTTAAAAATTGTTATTTCTGACTATATATTTAATATTTTTACAAGTCTTCCCAAGTAAAATGTCAAGAGTCACTATAAGTTCCTCCAAATAAAGCAGGGAGGTGCAACTATACAGTTTAAGTTACCCCTTCAGACCCTAAAAATAAACACGATGGGTTCAGGACAACAAATCTGGCAAGAGCTGAGGCTGCCTGGCAGCTGATGAGGCTCCCTCATCACTCACACCACATTGAGCCTGGGGGCTTCATCAAGATCACAGACTGACACGTTGTGGGTTACAGAGTTTCTCATGAATTACTGAAACTGAATCCTCAAATTAGGAATCTATCATTCCATCATATTTTATTCTCTGGTTCCATGTTCTATTTAATTTTTCAGTTTAGAACCACAAGGCTCTAGAAAAGCAGATGAGGATTAGTAGGGCATGAATGATCTAATTTGGTCTTTTTAGGGCCAATTATAAAGAAATCAATTAGCCCGTTTTTTTTATCCTGACCTCAACACAGACTTGTATCCACTTTGCTTGCCTTTATGGTGAGTCAAATTTTCCATAACTCTTATTCAGGAGATATCATGTCCTTCCTGTGTCCCACTCATTACAGACAGATGAAAAGTGTGGTTTGGCCCAGAAATTGACTATATATAAAACCACTGATCTTCTTTGCCTGGTTATAACAGAGCTAATGAAGAAATTCAAAGGTATATGCTTATTTCAGATTCTTCAGCACCAGGAGAATGGTATTTTGCCTCAAGATGAGTATAAGTCTTTGAACAAAGTAATTGACATAATCTTGGTTCAAGAGGAGACACCTGGTGGCATAAGTAGGGAGAAGATCAAAGAGGATAAATTGTTATTAAATTCTCTTACACATTGTTCTGCATATAAAAACACATTGCTATTTGAAAAGATTTTTATGGGTTAATACTATATGAGGGTACTTCAAAAATTTTATTGAAGGAGAGCATGCCCAGGGGCATAGGCAGGAGCTGAGGGCAGTTGCGCCTTCCGCCCAGAAGCAGGCAAGCAGCAGAGAATACCTGGGGGCCTAGGCAGGAGCTGAGGGCAGGATCCTCCACCCAAAAGCATACAAGGAGCACAAAGAAACACCACTTCCACACAGGTGGCCCCCCCACAGTCACCACAATGGCCACAACTGCCAAAAAAGTGACTCAATGCCATACCAGTAGCCACAGCCTCCATGCATGTGGCCCACCAGAGACTTAACTGCATTGACACAAGGAGCGTCACCAGCAGAGACCAAAAAAAGAGGAGGATGTCTCCCTCCTCAAACCCCACTCCAGAGTAGTAGAAGAATGAACTGCTCTACCAGATGACAAGACATCAATGTAGAGATACTAGAAATATGAAAACCCAAGAAAATACGATACCAACAAAAGAATACACTAGTTCTCAAATACCAGATCCTATAGAGAAAGAAGCCCTTGAAATGACTGAAAAGGAATTCCAAGCAACAATCTTAAGGAAACTCAGTGAGATATGAGAAGTGTCAGTTAGAAAACATAATGAAATGAGAAGAAAAATACAGGATTTGAAGGAGGAAATTTACAGAGATTAATACCTTTAAAAAGAATGTAGGGCCGGCCCAGTGGCGCACTGCTACAGTGTGCCGCTTGGGAGCGCGGCGACGCTCCTGCCGAGGGTTCGGATCCCACATACAGACCGGTTCCCGCTCACTGGCTGAGCGAGGTGCGGGTGCGACACTGAGGGTTGCAATCCATTGCCGGACACGAAAAAAGACAAAACGGAAAAAAAAAAAAAAAAAAAAGAGCTTAAGCAGCAGGCTAGAACAAGCAGAATGAAGAAATTCTGATCTTAAAGATAAACTTCTCAAAACAATCCAGGTGAACAAATAAAGGAAAAAAAATTTTTTTAAATGAAGAATATCTAAGAGAGCTAGCAGACAACCTTAAGCACAGAAACATTTGAATCATAGGTGTTCCAAAAGGGGAGGAGAAAGGAAAAGGCATGGAAAACCTATTCAATGAAGTAATAATAGAATACTTCCCAGGTATAGGGAAAGACACAGACATTCAGATCCAGGAAACTCAAAGATCCCCAAACAGATTCAACGCAAAAAGATCCTCTCCAAGTCACATTATAGTCAAACTGGCAAAGCTCAAAGACAAAGAAAGAATCTTAAAAGAAGCAAGAGAAAAGCATCAAGTCACCTACAAGGGAGTCTCTATAAGACTAACAGGAGTCTTCTCAACAGAAACTCTACAGGCCAGGAGAAAATGGGATGATATATTCAAAATACTAAAAGAAAAAAAAAACCTGCCAGCCAAGAATACTATATTCCACAAGGCTATCCTCCAGAAATGAGGGAGAAATAGTGTATTTTCCAGACAGACAAAAACTGCAGGATGTCACTACCACATGACCAGCCCTGCAAGAAATCTTCAAGGCAGTCCTGCATCAGGAAACCAAAAAACAACAATCACTTATCTGACCAGCTATAGTTCTGTTCAAGCTTTCTGTTTTTTTCATAATTTAGTCTTGGTAGGCATCATGTTTCTAGGAATTTATTCATTTCATCTAGATCATCTAATTTCTTGACCAACAATTATTCATAGTATTCTCTTATAACCCTTTTGATTTCTGTAAATTTGTTTGTAATGACTCCTCTTGCATTTTTTATTTTATTTATTGAGTCTTCTCTCTTTTTTCTTAGTCCATCTAGGTAAAGGTTTGTCAATTTTGTGGATCTTGTCAAAGTACCAACTTTTGGTTTCATCAATTTTCTCTTTTTTTTTTTTTTCTATTCTCCGTTTCCTTAATATATGCTCTAAATTTTATTATTTACCTCCTTTGCTAGGTCTGGGTTTAGTTTGCTCTTCATTTTCTACTTTCCTAAGGTGCAAGGGTAATTGTTGATTTGACATCTTTCTTTTTTATTAACGTATGCATTTATGTTAAATATATTTCCCTTTTAACAACAACAACAACAAAAAACCTTCATGGAAGGATTCACATTATCTTTTAATTCTATTTTTCCATGAACTTTTTGAAGTACCCTTGTATAAAACTTACATATACATATAATATACATAGTAATATAATGCACTATATACTATTATATATTAATGTCTCTGACAATCAAAAGAGAATATATAAAAACAAGTATAAATTTGTAATATTTATAATTTCTGTATTCTAAAAATAAATAATTTATTGCTTTTGAAAGAGAATAGATAGGACCTTTCTAAACCAATTAATAATAAAATTTTGGCTTAATAAAACTCTCCGGAAGTCTAATATTAATCAGATTTCTTTCAGCCACAGAATGTTATGATTAATAATCCAGCATGACTAGCTTCCTTAACAAATATTTATTGATCATTCACTATGTGTCAAATTCTGTAAAAAAATTGATGAATTAAACCTTTCTTTATAATTTTGTTGTCAAAATTAATCATTTGTTTATGTTGGACATTTTATCTTGATTTATATACTTGTGTCTGTGAATAAATTAACATTTGTTTTAATTTTACAGATCTTGCATTTTGCAACAGAGATCCAGGCTCAGCCAAGACATTCTCAAGGCAAAGTATCAATTTCAATTAATAAATACTTACTCACTTAAAAATAATGCAGAAAGAAGACCTAACTCATGATGTTTCTCATCAATATTTCCCAGTCAGGAAAATCAAACTTTAGCCAGAAATGGAATGTGCACACACACACACACAATGTTGTGGTGATGTATATTCATACGTTCTTTTGAAAATCATAATTTTAAAAAGCAATTCTATCTTTTAATTATTCCCTCTGCCTGAAATGCTTTCTGCCTAGTCTACACGCCTTTTTATACTTCAGGTTTCAGTTATGGTCAACTCTTCAGCCATAGTTTCATGACAAGCCCACTTCTGTTGATTCCTTGTCCTCTTTCCCCATCACCCCAGACACCACCGCTATACTGTTGGCTTCCTTCATATCATTTATCCCAATTGATAATTATGCATTGCTTACTTCCTTCTGTGTATAGTGTTTATTTCCCCCATGAGAAAGGCTCTGTGTCTATTCACTGATACATACTTAGCATCTACCACAGTGGCTGGCAGACAGTAGTACTCAACATAGACTGTGAAATGAATGAATAAATTCATCGTCCTTTGAGGCTCCAGCCTGTTCCTTTTTCATGACACCTGCAGACCAACTGTTAAGAAGTGGTTTTTTCTATACATATTCATAATTCATTGTGATTTGTGTACATTTTTAAGTCTACTTCTCCAGAAAGAGAAGAAATACTGCTTCTTAATACTACCTCTCCATTTCCCTAGTGTTTTCAGGATAGTGGAAATGATTTTTCAGTAAACTCAGCTCCTCAGTTTTTTATATATAAATATTATACATATATATAATCTCACACATCAAAGTCCAGGTAAAGTATAACTCCTGCTTTAAAGAAAACTTCCGTTTAATGGGAGATCCTTCTGAGAAACCCTCTATCCTAAAATCTGATAAGGTTAATATGCTCTTTAAGGAGGTTTAATAAATATCACTCTACAATTTCATAATATTAAGGCCATCTGAGTTAAAAGGATATGGGGACTCCTTACCTGGAGTCCTTTCTGACTCTTGCCTTCTCAAAGGAAAATTCAGGGGGTTTGTTGAGGTCATAGGTTCGGGTGGTTGGTTCAGCAGACACCCCAGCCTTGGCTCCCCTCCTGCTGTGGAGAGAGATCAATCCCGAGGTCCTCCGGTGGACCTCAAGAGGCACTTTATCTGGAGATGACTGAAGTGGACTCCCCCCCTGCATATGCACCACATCCTGAAGCTTGTTCAGCTGGATGCACTTGTTCTGCAGCTCCTCCGTGAGCTCAGCAATGGCCACAGTCTGCTTTGACAGCTGTTCCCGCAGCTCCTTCAGATGGTACTCACGCTCTTGGATCTCAGCATCCTTCCTCCTCAGCTCTCTCTCCAGCTCTGTCACTTTGCTCCGCAGGGCATCAATGGTGAGGTTCCCAGAGTAGCCATCTGGATGTTTGGAATGTTTGGGTTTCACGGAACCATTTCCCATTTTGCTCAGGGACCTGAGAAAGGGCATGGAATTGGGAATTACAAAGTGGTGTTTCATTTTCCAACAGCCCCCATCATCCATATCATCCCAATTTGATTCACAAATAGAAATACAGCAGTCATTCTCATTTGACAAGCAATAAATTTCCCCATGCTTCCAGAAGAAAAGTTATGAATTAATCTCCTTTGACCCTCCATAAAGAGGAATCGGCATGTGGTTGGTTCCTTCTTCCTCGTCCCTTTGCAAGTACAAGTATCACACCTAAGCATTTTGCACAAATGGCCTGGGCTACCTGCTGTTTCTTTGGTCATTCTTTCCAGACAGCTGTCAAAAGCATCACAACAAAACTGCGATTTAGATGTCAGCATGGCAAAGATAAAACACAAACAAGCAACTACCACAACAGAAGCATGGAAATGTCACAACTCTCACAGCTCCCCGTGTGGCTACACTAAGAACCCTTCCCTTGATTAGAAAATAGCACATCCTGTGCTCGCTTCGGCAGCACATATACTAAAAGAAAATAGCACATCCGCATTCCTCAGTAGGTGGAGGCAGAGTTGGTTCTGCTTTATTAGCACTTTTCTCCTGCCATTCGTCCTTATTAAGTCTTGCATTTCTGATAATGCTCCTTGCCAAAAATTTCTGGATTGTGGTCACTAAAAGGAAACAGAGGAATAAGGATTCTTCTACATCTTTTACTTTATGTCCTAAAGCTGAATTGTCCAAAAACTGATGTCCTGTGGTGCAAGGCTCTATTCTTTTCCTATTAAGAATATCCTCAATGTAGGCCCCAAAGTAATCACTAATCCAGTGAGTCTCAGGATGTGATATGCAGATCATGCGTCATGAGGAATTATTTTAGTTGGTTCAGAAACATTTGAGTTCAATAGCTATGTATTCATTTTAATATTTACTAGAAATATAAATAATTAGTACCAAAAAGTTGTGATTTCATTGATACTGTTGCTTCAAAGAAGGCTAAATTAGGTATGTAGGCTTACTGAGGCAATTCACTGAAAATAAAAATAAATTATCTGTGGGTAATAAGCACATATGAGTAAAATTCAAATAAGGCACATTTGGGAAATACTGCTTTGATTCCTTATCATAAGGTTTAAGGCTTTTTAGGCTACCTATTTAAACTTCATACTTCTTGACAGCCATACTCCAGAAGCACGTAACACTTGTAAACTAAGCTTGAATTACTTTCAATTATCTAAAATCAGAACAGAGATGTGAAACTTTGAAGTTCTATAACCCGCACATTCTTGCCTCTCTCTCTCTCTAAATCTCAAACTTAGATAGAAATGAAATGGTTATTTGTTTCACTAGCTCTACCAGAATAATTGTGACTGCTACAACAACAAAGGCATAGATGTAAAGATTTAACACAGCCTCTATGCTTCAAACATATGCAACCAAATAGCCAATGCAGGTTGTCTAAGATGAAAATGAATGTGCAGTATTTATAATAGTAATTTTTGCAACACCCAGATTTCCCTCATAGAATTCAGGTTCAAAGTAATCATTAATAAACATTAGCCTCCTGAGAATTGCCTTACTATGTTGCAGAGAGGTGGCAGGTTTAACCTTTAAGTTTCTGTTGACTTGGTAGCATTGACTATTCTTATATATTAAGAATATATAAGAAGGTTGAGAAGACTAGAATTCAAAGAAGAGGCACTGGACATATTTGTATCCTGAATAAGGAATTCAGAAGATGTTAGATTAGGACCTGAGAATAAACTTGAAAGAGAATCTGAATTACAGGCATGAGAAAGGTGCTCCCAAAGGTATCTTAAATTAATGTGTGCACAAGTTTTTCACATGCAGTAATGAGCCATCTTCTAGCTAGGATTTTTGGTTCATGGACAAGCATTCTTAGATAAAGAGGGGAAGGTAGGAGTAGGATGATAGAAAGAAAAGGAATTGCCTTATAAAGAACAAAAGCAAGTGCAAAAACCTTTAAATCTAATATTAACTAACAACTCATTCTTTATTCATGGAACAATTGTTTACCAAGACTTATCTAAGTGTCATGTACTATATCAGAAGCATATCCCTTTATGGACTTGTAGTCAATTTTGACACAGAAAACAGTTCTAGCATTCTAAACACAAAAAGGCTTAGAATCATTTTTGCTCTTTGTATGGTATTCAAAAAATTCTGTACCAATCCAATAATTTTACAAATCTGAAGCACAATTAGGTAGAGTGTTAAATTCTCGCAAAACACCAACTATTCTCTGGTTTTAATGAAGTCAGTTGGAATCTGTATAAATCTTTCAAGCTCTATAGGCAGCATGTGATGTAATGATTTAGAATGCCAAAGAGAGTAACTAATTCATCTTTCAACTCACTAATTTAAAATATGTAAGTGTGTTAGTCCATTTCTGTTGCCTATAATGAAATGCCTGGAACTGGGTGATTTATAAAGAAAATGAAATTTATTGCTTACAGTTTCTGAGGCTTGGAAATCCACAGTCCAAGGAACACACCTGGTGGTTGCAACAGTGACCCCTCACATAGCAAGATGGTGGAAGCAGAGAGAGAGAGAGCAAGAGGACAACTTCCTCATTCACTCTTTTTCAAAGCCCTCCAAACCGTGCCCCTAACCACCATTTTTAAGCCATTCACTACTGCATGGTCCTACAATCTAATCACCTCTTCAAGGCTTCACCTTTCAATTACCATAGTAGGATTTCCCACCCTCCACAGCTACAGTGGGGATTTAAGCTTCAGTGAGGTTGGGGGAGGGGGCAATCCAGTCTACAGCAGTAAGTAAGTTACTAAATCGCTCAATACTGTTCTGATTTCTTAGTTAGTTCATCCATTTAAATTTTGTTGTCTCTAAAGCCAAGGCTTCAAGTCTCTGTCTTCATAAAACCTAATTAGCTTCACTCTGTTTCCTGTATCAGTTGTTAAGATAAGCTACTTCTCAAGTATGTATTGCTAGCCACAAGGAGAACTGAACCACAGAATGTTGCTCCATCAATGTAGCAACTATAGGCTATTAAAATCATTCTTGGGGCTGGCCCGGTGGCGTACTGCTACAGTGCGCCGTTTGGGAGTGTGGCGGCGCTCCCGCCGAGGGTTCGGATCCCACATACAGACTGGTTCCCGCTCACTGGCTGAGCGAGGGGCGGGCGCAGCACCGAGGGTTGCGATCCCGTTGCCGGTCCCTGTCCAGTACGGGCGCGACACTGAGGGTTGCGGTCTGTTGCTGGACACGAAAAAAGACAAAAAAAAAAAAAATCATTCTTATATGTAGAAGGCAGCATGTGATGTAATAAGAAAGGAGTTTGGAGATAAAGATCAGAATTTAACATGAACAATGGAATCAGGCCAGTCAGTATTAGAAAATAATCTGCCCTTTCCCAACTTTCTGTAAATTACTTAGAATCTCTGATTCAGTTTTCATATCTACAAAATGGATATGCTTATTTCCATCTCATAAGGTTATTATGAAGATTATGTTTATAAGTACCCTCTGCAATGCCTGGCATGTAGTAGGCACCCAGTAAATAAGTAGCTCTTATTATATTATGGGACTAGAGACAGGCACTTAATGTCTTGGTGTGTGGAAAACCCAGAGGCGATCATTGTTGGGTGGGACAGAAGTCTAGTAAACTAGACGTCTTCCAGACAAGAGGACTTCAAAGATGCAAATTATTCCCTTGAGGTGGAGGAAATCTTATTCTGCTGAATAATATCTTTCATTGAGAAAAGAAGTCATCCTGGAACAAACATCCTGGGAAACAAGTCCCACCAAAAGGTTGAAACGAAAAAGCATTATGAATGACAGAGAGCCAGTTCCAGGACAACAAGGACTCCTTGAGCTTTGTAATTCCCTCATGTAGCCCATATTTATTTTCACACATTGCAGTGAAATCCTTAAACCCAAAAAAAAAAAAAAAAAAAAAAAACCACCCTAATTATTTTTCAAGGCAGAAAAAAACATGGTTCACTGGGAGGTAATACTCTTCTGCAGCCAGGGATGGGAGAGAAGAACATAGAGAGTAACGGCATTTCACAAGAGGGGAGAAAAACTCTATAATATTATAAATTATTTATATGTTAGTTTAACCAAAATTTAGGAAATGCTATCCTCCGAGAGGTAACTAGAAGAGGTAACTACAAGAAAAGCAAAAGTGACTGTGAAGGCTCTTCCAGGCAGATTAACAGCTAGCAGTCAATGTGGAAGGAATTAGGCTTTGTTGTATGTTTTTTCTCCAGCCCTAAAGAATTTTGAAACCAAAATCTTCGCTGTGACTTAGATAATATCTGTTTCTCTCTCTACCCATCTGGGTTCTAATATAAATATATGCACACCCTTATTTACATATATATATATATATATATGTATATGTATAGCTACATGTATATCTGTAAATATGGGAGATGGTAATAGTGCTGGTTAAGGTTATAGAGCCAGAGTCCCAGTCCAAGCACTTTCACTTATGTTTATATGCCCTCAGGCAAGATACTGGGCAATAATAGAAGAGAAAATAAACACAAAGATAGATAGACAGACAGACAGATAAAATAATGTTGCATATCATTTAGAGTTGTTTGAGGTTAGATGAAGTAAACTATGAAAAGAATTTAGCACAGTGCTTGGCACATAGTATTTGTTTAATTTGTATTACTATTACAGTTAACATTATTTACCCAATGAAACAACTTATCTTAGTAAAAAACTTATTGATCAAAAACCATGTTCTAAACCAACACAATATTATAGGAGAACAAAGTCAGAAAACAGACATCCAACTTCAAGACTTACTATATAAAGCTACAATGACCAAGACAGTGGTACTAGTCAAAGAATAGACAAATCAATGGCACAAAATAGAGACCCCAGAAGAAGACTCAGACAATATAGTCAACTGATCTTTGACAAAAGAGCAAATGCAAAGCAGTGGAGAGAGGACAGTCTTTTTATCAAATTGTACCGAAACAACTAGACATCCACATGTTTAAAAAACAAAAAGCCTC